CCTAGTTTTGTGAGTAAGGTGTTGCTCCTCACCTTCGTCATGCTCCTCACCCTCCTCTTCTTCCTCCTCATACTCCTCCTGCTCCTCCCCCCTTCCTCCTCCTTCGTTTCTTCACTCTACCCCCACCTCTCCGCTTCGTGGCGTCACTCGCAAATCTAGTTGTGAACGCAGCTCCACAACCAGTTTTGTGAGCAGCCTCCTGCTACGAAACATTACTCGCAAAACTAGCTGTGGACGCCGCTCCACACCTAGTTTTGTGAGTAAGGTGTTGCTCCTCACCTTCGTCATGCTCCTCACCCTCCTCTTCTTCCTCCTCCTACCCCTCCTGCTGCTACGGCTCCTGATCACTCAGCCCCCTCCTCTCCACTTCGAGGCGTTACCCTCCAATCTAATTGCGAATGCAACTCCACAACAAACCTTGCGAGCAACCTTCCGCTACGAATCATTATTCACAAAACTTGTTGTGAACGCCGCTCCACAGCTAGGAAGAGGCGGTGGAAAATGGGGGAGGATGTTGCTCAACTATGGCTGGTGCCACTGGAGCTCGGCATTCACCAGATGACGCGGAGGAGGAGGAGGAGAACAAGGGGCTCAAATTTGAGGAGTAGGGCAAATATGGTTTGGAGGAGAAGGTGGAGGAGGAGGTGGTGGAGGGGGAGGAGGAGGAGACGATGAGCAGGAGGACAAACATTTGGGGGGAGGAGGAGAAGGAGGAGGAGGAAGAGGTGAATGAGGATTCAGAGAAGGAGGAGAAGGAAGAATAGTAAGAGGATTCTGATGAGGAGGACAAGCGTGAGGGAGAGCTTGAGGAGAATTTAAAGAAGGGGGAGGGGAAGAGAAGCAGGAGGATGACAATGAGTTTAAATTTGCGGAATCGGACTAGGAGGAGGACAACATGCCGAAGAGGAGATGGAGGAGGATTCAGAGAAGGAAGATGAAGAGGACAAGGAGGAGGAGGAGGAGGAGGAGGAAGAGGAGGACAAGGAGCTTGAAAGTGAGAGGGGGTAGGAGGAGGAGAATGATGAGGACAAACATGAGGAATAAGTGGATGAGGATTCACAGAATGAGGAGGACGAGGAGGAGGAAGAGAAGAGTTGGGGCCAATGCATTTGATTTTGAAGCGGAGGGGGGAGAAGACAAACATAAGGAGGAAGAGGATGTGGAGGAGGATTGGGAGACGGTAGAGGAGGAAAATGAGGAGGAGGACGAGGAGGACAAGGCGTTTGGTATCGAGGAGGAGGAAGAGGAGGACGAGGAGGAGAGGACAATTATGAGGAGAAGGTGGAGAAAGCTTCAAAGAAGAAATATGAGAAAGAGAAAGAGAGGGAGGGGGAGCTTGAGGTTGAGAAGGAGTAGGATGCTGAGGAGGAGGAGGAGGGGCATCATAAACATGAGATGGTGAGATTGGATTGCAATGCGCCGCGAAAGACTGAAGTCGCTTCGCGCTGAAGTGTTTGGATTGCAATCGACGGAATTGCGGTTTGCAACGTAGCAAACCATCATGAAGAAACACAGGAGGAAGGAACGGGTTATGATGACTGGAGGGATGGTGGGAGAATGTGTATGATCATGTGGGGGGGGGGGGGAGCATATATATATATATATATATATATATATATATACCGCATAGACACCCTTCGGTGATAAGGAGGCGAGGGGGGGGGGGGGGGCAACGTCGCACTCGATCGATCTCACTATCGATCTCACTATCGATCTCACTCGATCGATCTCACTCGATCAATCTCACTATCGATCTCACAATCGATATCATCATCGATCTCACTCGCCCAGTCTCGCTATCGATCTCACCATCGATTTCACAATCGATCTAAATATCGATCCCACGATCGATCTCACTATCGATCTCACTTTCGATCTCACTCGATGGATCCCACTGTCGATATCACCATCGATCTCACACTCGATCTCACTATCCTTCCAACTATCGATCTCAGTCGATTTGCATGTAGATTTGCATGTAGATTTGCATGTAGATTTGCATGTAGATTTGCATGTAGATTCGCATTTTCGATTTGCATTGTCGATTTGCATTCGATTTGCATGTCGATTTGCATTTCGATTTGCACTTTCGATTTGCATGTGCGATTTGCATTTTGATGTGCATGTCGATTTGCATTAGATGTGCATGTCGATTCCATTTTCCGATTTGCATGTCGATTTGCATTTCGATTGCATTTTGATTTGTATTTCGATTTGCATGTTCAATTTGCATGTTCGATTTGCAGTTCTATTTGCATTTCGATTTGTAATGTCGATTTACATTTCGATTTGTATGTCGATTTGGATTTCGATTTGCATTTAGATGTGCATGCCGATTTGCCTGTTCGATTTACATTGTCGATTTGCATGTCGATTTGCATGTAGATTTGCATGTCGAGTTGCATTTCGATTTGCATGCCGATTTGCATGCCGATTTGCATTTCGGGACACCAGCGGGACACCACCGGGACACCGGCGGGACACCGCGGGCCCCCAGCCGCCCGGAAGGGAGTCATTTGGTCCGGCCGCGCCCCAGCCACAGGAGACTTTCTTCTCGCCCGCCCACGCAGCTTCGCCTCGCCCGCACGCGCGGCACGCACGAACACGAAACCGAAATCGATTTCCCGGTAGGGGGGCTCTCCGTTCCACTTCGATCTCACCCCCTCACCTCCGATATATATATATATATATATATATATATACACACCAGGCGCCTTCCTACTTCAAGCGTCGAGTGTTTTTTTCCCTTTCCTTTCTTGGTCGGGGGGGCGGGCGGAAGCCCAATCTACTCTAACGTCTTCCTGCTTCATGTTTCTACCCACATCTTCCGACCGGCGTGTAAGGTCGCGATGTCTTCTCGAGTGAGGCCCGGTTTTTGTCGTCGCTCGTCCGCCGTTGAGGCGGAGGAGGAGGAGCAGCGGCAGCAGCCGCCCAGGGAGAGCGGCGGCCGCAGGCAGGACACGGGGTTGGGGCAGCAGGATGCGGCGCGCCAGGATGTACCGTTCAGGATCAGCAGAAACACATGAGGAGGAGGAGGAGGAGGAGGAGGAAAAGGAGGAGGAGGAGGAGGAGGAGGAGGAGGAGGAGGAGGAGGAGGAGGACGAGGAGGATGACAAGGAGGAGGAGGAGGAGGAGGAGGAGGTCGAGGAGGACATATTTATTAGTGTTACGCCCATCGTGGGTTGAAAGTATGTGTTTTGGGGTTCCCATGCTCCGATCTGTACAGAGATGTTCGCCTGCGTTGGCCCACACCGTGTCTTTCTAGAACTAGATGTTGTGCAGTCTGGGCGGAGCGATCTATGATAATCAATCTGGGTGGTGCATTCTATGCTGTGCAATCTTTGTGGTGCAGGCTCAGTCGTGCGATACATCTGCTGCAACATATGCGGTGAAGCCGACGTGTTGCAACCCATGTGGTGCAAACTCGGCGGCGACGGGGTGGCGACGAGGCGGCGACGGCGAGCATGAAGCCGCCAGACCGCCAGCCAGACCCAGACGGCGGGCGGCGACCAGGCGGCGACAAGCCGGCGACGGCGAGCACGGAGTCGCCAGACCGCCAGCCAGGCCGGGCTCCTTAGCAAGGAAGAACAGCCATCTCAGTGCAAGCGTTGTTTGGGGAACTTCGGGCGCCTTCGTGCTTCAGGTGTCGCGCGGTGTTCTCTCCTTCCTCCTGGCAGGGGGGTCCAGGGGGCGGGCGGACACCCAATCTACTTCAACGCCTTCCCTTCTCGTGTTGCTGCCTTCTTCCTTCACATCCTGGTCGCGACCATTCGGGGGGGCACTGGTTGGCCGTCGGGTGCGGCACTACGGGCCTCTCGAAGGCCCTGGGGGCTTGTTGGGTAAGTTCTGCAGGCCTCTTGGCAGCGCCTTGGGGGCGCCTCGGAGGCTCCTTGGGCCGTCTGAGGGCTCTTGGGCCGTCTTGGCCCTTTCGGAGTCCGTCTTCCTCCTGGGCCGTCCTGGGGCCCTCTTGAGGCCCTCGTGGGCCGTCTTGAGACCTTCTGGAGGTTTCTGGGCTTCTGGTGCCGTCTTGAGCTCCTGAAGTCCCAATCGGTGAGAATTCACAACTCCTTCAAGCACACATAGAATTCAACGGTGTTGGCCTCCTCGGGCCTTGCTGGATGTTCTCTTCGAGCCCTCTTGGACCGTTTTGAGAGCCTCGGGGGAAGTCTTGAGAGCCCCTTGGGAAGTCTTGAGGCCATCTTGGGCCGTCTTGGGGTGACCACGAGTTGTCCTGGAGGCACCTCAGGCACTTGTGGTGGCTTTGCAGGTTTGCCTGGGCACGCCAGCATCGACCTTCAGGGCCTTCCTCCCCCCTCCATCCCCTCACATATGTCTATACTATACATACCCTCCCTCCATCCACCCATACCCTCCCTCATACTTGCTATACCTTCAGGGCCTTCCTCCCCCCCTCCATCCCCTCGTACCTCTCATTCCTCCCTCCCCTCCATACCCTCATCCCTCCCTCCTTCCCCCTCATACCTATACATGTGTCTCGCATGTCATGCTGTCCAGACGCGCCAGATTTCTTCTGATCTTAGGCAGGCCCCAGCGGTGTCCGCAGCGGTGGTCGTATCGCATCGCATCGCATCGTCCTGGAAGCCATCTTCGGGCATCCTGGACGCCCCGGATCAAGCAGTGGCGAAGCGTCCCGGCTCGCCTATAGCCCCACCAAACAATGTTCTAAGAACCTTTTGTGGTTCCCACGAAGTGTTCTTAGAACATTTCTGGCTGGGACTGTCTCGTTTTAACACATCGGGTTCCTGTTCTAAGAACATTGTTTTTGTTCTTAGAACATTCTCGGGGTCTAAGAGCAGTTCCTGGTATGACTATATGACTGATGGGACGGTCGGTCTCTGCTCAACTGGAGAGCGCGCCACGGAGGCGTCGGGGCACCCAGCCGAGCCCTGGGGGGGGGGAGGGCGTGTTCGGCGCAGGACCTGCGGCTGACCTTCGCCCTCCGCGACGTGACTGGGGCGCTCACGTCGTGGTCTTTTCCGATGCAAGCGGTGGGGCCGCCAGCGGGGGGGGTCCTCCTCCTCCTCCTCCTCCTCCTCTCCTGCTCCTCCTCCTCCCTCCTCCTCCTACTTTCTCCTCCCCCTCCCTCCTCCTCCTCTCTCCTCCTCCTCCTTCTCCTCCTCCCCCTCCTCTCCTCCTCCTTTTTTCTCCTCCTCCTTTTTCTCCTCCTCCTCCTCCTCCCTCCTCCTCCTCCTCTTTCTCCTCCTCCTCCTTCCTCCCCTTCCTCCAATTCCTGCTACTGCTCCTCCTCTCCCTCTCCCTCTCCCTTTTGTTCCTCGTCCTCCTCGTCCTCCTCCTCCTCCCTTCCTCCTCTTCCTCTCTCTCCTACTCCTCCTCCGCCTCCTCCTGCTCCTCCTCCTCCCTCCGCTTTCTCCTGGGGCTCACAAGGTTGCTGGGCTGCACAAGGTTGCCGACTGCCCCTCCTCATCCTCTTCCTCCTCCTCCCCCCCCCTCCTCCTCCCCATCCCTCCACTCGAATGGGATGTCTCCTATATATTCCTGCACTCTGCCCTGCCGAATGTTCTCCTTGCAGCAGGGCGTGTAGTTGAGCATTTAACGCGCCCGCGGTTTCGCGGCCATTTGCGGCCCACGGCGGCCGCCTATCGTTCCCGCGTTAGACGCGTGTTACCCCCGTGCTATTACATTTGCATGTTGCTACTGTACATCCCCTTTTCATAGTCCTCCTCGGGAGCGATCTGGCAATCGGTCCTCCTCCCCTCTTCCTCCGTGCCCCCCTTTCTCTCTCGGCTGCGAAGCCTGGCCAAACCGCGTGGCCCGTCCACCAACTCTGTGAGGCGACTGGGTTACACCCATCGTTCTGGCGTGGGCCCCAGGCCAAAGCCCCCTGTCGGAGTGATCTGCTGCTCTCACGCCGGATTCCCCGATGCCCGAACCTCTCTTGCTGCTGCTGCTGCTCCTCCTCCTCCTCTTCCTCCTCCTCCTCGCCCTCGGCGGACGTGACCGTCGCGCTCACGTCGCGGGCTTTCCCACGCCGGATTCCCCGCTTCCCGAACTTTGGCTGCTGCTGCTGCTGCTCCTCCTCCTCGCCCTCCGCGGACGTGACCATCGCACTCACGTCGCGGGCTTTCCCGATGCAAGCGTTGGGTCGCCTGCGGGGGGGGTGCATCGGGAGCTGCCATGAGGGGGATGAGGACCAGGGGGGAGGAGGACGTCTTCGTCGTCGAACGGGGGGAGGAGGATGTTGTGATCGTTGGTCCTTGGAGTTTTTTTCGCTTGAGGATGTTCTCCTGCCTGCGCCTCCAGTTCGGGATGTCCGAATCGTCCCGCTTTGCCGCCACCGGCGTCGACGGGGGGGGTCTGACTGGGAATGTGTGTGTGTGTGTGTGTGTGTGTGTGTGTTACAGCGCCGTGTGTATGTGTCCGTGTGTGTGTGTGTCTGTGTGTCTGTGTGGGTGCATGCGTGCGTGCGTGCGTGCGTGCGTGCGTGCGTGCGTGTGTGTGTGTGTGTGTGTGTGTGTGTGTTTGCGTGCGCGTGGATATCATGGCTGGGGCCACGAAGTCTTCCCGACATCATGGCCCCTGATGTATTCGTTTTCCTTTTACTGCTCTGGTGTTTCTTGCTCTTATGTTCCTCTCTCTTGCTTTTTGTTGTGAAGTCCTCTCTCCCCTGGCTCTCTGGTTCATTACGTTTCTCTTTCCTGTCTTTTCCATACGCTCCCTGGCCCTCCTCCCGTCCGCGCCCATGCCTCGGGCCATGATGCGTCAACCTCCCCTCCTCCTCCTCCCTTTCCTCCTCCTCCTCCTCCTCCTCCTCCTCCCTTTCCTCCTTCTCCTCCTCGTCCCTTTCCTCCTCCTCCCTTTCGGAAAGCTCGGAATGAAGTCTCCACACTAGCATGCTAATGGAAGACTGAAGCAACGACGCTCTGATGCGAGGTCGTACGCACGCTGACAGCTGGAGGATTACCCACCCCCCACAAACATACGATAATCACCTATCCCTCATACAGCTGTTAGGGAAACGGGTAGGCTACAAGGGCCCCTGTCGTAACGGCAGCCTGGTCCGAGCGATATCGGACGCCAGGGGGCTGCATACAGCGCCGCGGGCAGCTTGAAGTGGTGCTTTCGACTCTTACCTTGGCCCTCTGATGCTCACCCTTCCACCCCCTTTAACCTGCATTCCAAGAATCCGCTGAGGAACCTCAGCGTTGGACGAGACAGGTGAGTAGGAGGAGGACGAGGTTGCTGAGAATGCGCAACATGATTCTGATCACGTTGAAACATGTTGGGACTCGCGAAGGCAATTCTTATGCAATTTGCGGCTCCTGGAGGCCGCCGTGAAAGCCCCACAGCCCGTCGTCGCCGTCGCTCCTCCTCACCACCGGCTGCTAGGCCCTCCCCCTTACCATCCTCACCACATCATCCCTTCGACTGGGGCCTCTGGGCGCCCAGGGCAACAAGGATAGAGTGCGGAACGAGGGAGAGAAGCGAGAATCGCAAAAGCTGGCGTGCCCATCTGCAACTTGCAGCCTCGGCGGCAGTTCGGCCCTAGCCGATAAGCTGGCGTGCGTGCGCTGCCCCTCTACCCTCACCCTCCAAAGACGACCCCCTGCCAACTGCATGCTACAGCTAGGCAAGCAAGTGGGAGAAGAGCGGATGGGTGGTGGAAGAGGGGCTTGCGGGAATCAGATCACTGAATACCGAATCGGCGCTCCCTGGCGCATGTGACGCACTCGTTTGTCTGACCGAATCGCCTGGTTCGAATGCAATCCTGGCATATCGTGCGAACGACCTGACGATGCCTTGACAAAGAAGCGTCCTTATCTCTCTCGGTGAGAGTCTCGTTCATCTTGGGCCCGTCGAGTTTCTGACGCAGTTTCGTGAAAGGCTTCTGACTCCCACGAACACGTGTCCAAACCTCCAGCTCGATCGTACGCTCGGCGATGAACTCTGCAATATTATCGATCTTCTGGCGCAGGCGCACGAAGGACCTGGGACGATTGCTTCCTCGTCTCCACTCTTACAGCTCCTCCAAACGCTCAGCAATGAACAAGTTTACAGATGCTGCCTTCTGCTCCTCCTGCGTGGTGGACATCGGCGGATCCTTGAGCGCCGCTGCGAGCCAGCTGAGCTGCTCTGGGCCCAGCCCGCCAACTCTGCCGGCCTCCAGGAGCGCCGCGTCTAAACGTTCGGGACCGGCATGTGAATCGACAGCGCCCGCGGCCTCTCCGACAGCGCCCTCGGGGTCTTGATGATCAGTGCCCCTTGGCGGTGGGATGGCAGAGAGGGCTTGATGATCAGTGCCTCTCTGACCATCTAGCGCAGCCGTGCCGACTCGCTCCGTCGGGAGAGTGTTGTACCGCATAGGCGTCGAGGAGAACACGACAGTGCCGCAGTGGCATCGCAGGCCCTCGAAGCCCTTCTCGAGGGGTTCCCAGATGCCGTGGTAGTCAATGTCATGGTGTGGCTCCTCGATTGGTTTCCAGATCGGCACGAACACGGGCGCGTCGGGGTTGAAGACGAACGGTTTCACCGCCACCTCCTTCGATCCCGAATTGGACGGCACGCCCGTGCCGAGAGGGAGATGTCTGGCCATGTTCCCCTGCACTTTGACCTGCTTGAACGAGTTGAAGACATCGTCGGGCAGGCCCAGGATGGAATGAAGTGCCCGTAGAGCGTCGCCAAGTCGATGCTTGTGGGCTCCGAGCACACCGTCGGCCCTCCAGTGCAGGATGAGAGCCTTGCCCAGCGCCTCCATGCGCGTCCTTAGCACCTCTTCGACCTCGGGCGGCACGTCGAGTCGAAGAAGTGCATCATCGACGGAACGCGCAGCGCATTCGCCGTCCAGGCCTGCCGCCCGCTCCCTCCGAAGGCGGCGCGACAGCGCGGCAGCCGAGCGACGTGCCCAGGCCTTGCCGCCTCCCTGGCCGACCTTCTCCTC